CTCTCACTTGTCTAACTCTCTGTCCTGTGATGGCACACTTGGTGTGTTTCTCTGGCTTAGGACTGTTCACTGGAACTCTAAAACTGCTTTCTATGCGAGAGCATATTCAGATTCCAGCTTCTCCTCCGCCATCTTGTCCTTCAAAAAACTCTCATCTTTTTATTTTGTTTCAGCCCTAGGGTTTGAACTCAGGACCTGAGCAATCTTCCTCAGCTTTTCTGCTAAAGGCTAGTATTCTACCACTTGCGCCACGTTTCAATTGTTGGTCTTATGGTTATGGTGTTAATTGGAGGTAAGAGTCTCACAGACCTTCCTGGCTAGGCTGTCTTTTAATTGTGTTCCTCTGATCTCAGCCTTCTGAGTAGCTAAGATTACAGGTGTAAGCCATTGGTACCAGCCACTGGGACTCATCTTTTAACTATCTCTTTACATTTGCCTTTTCCTGAATGTCCTAACTTGGAATCAAAGACTATTTTGCATTTTGAGGTAGGCTCTTTTCTTTTTCTTTTTGTTCTTTTTTTTAAAAAATTATTATTTTACTGTAAAGATGCCGTACATAGAGGTTAGTTATATGAGGAAGGGAATGAGTATATTTCTTGTCGATTATTGCTCCCCGCAACTTTGTTTTTCTCTAGGATTTGAATTCAGGGCTTTGTGATTGCTAGGCAGTTGTTTTCCTACTGAGCCATGCGTATCAACTTTCTCTTCTGGTTATTTTGAGAAAGAAAATTTGCTTTTTGCCTATGCCAAAATGGACCATGATCTTATTTTTCATTATTCCTTACCATAGCTGAGATGACAGGTGTATATCACCAAACTAAGCAATTTCTGTTGAGATGTGATCTTGTAAACTTTTTTTTGCCAAGGTTGGCATGGAAGCAAAATCTTCTGAATCTTAAACTCCCAAATTGCTGAGATGAAAGGTGTGAAGCATTATACTCCACAAATGGTTGGTGTAAGGTATTGTGAGCTTTTTGCTTAGTCTGCTCTCAAAATGTGAACCTTCTAATCTCTGCCTTCCAAATAGCTAGAATTACAGGTGTAAGCCACCAATACTCTGCTACATTGATTTTTTAAACTTAAAAATATACATTTGTTTTCTTTTCTTTTTTTTCTGGTATGGGAATTTGTACCCAAGGACTTGAACTAGGCTGGCATGTTACCCCTGAAGCTGTGACTCCAGTCTTGTTTTTTGATTTTTGTTATTTTTTAATTTAGGTACTTACTTTTCTTTTTTATTTTTAATGAATTTTTATTGTAAAAATACTGTACAGACTGGTTACAGTTACATTTCTTATCAAGCATTGTTGCTTTTTGTTATTTTTGAGATGGAATCTCATGGACTTTTCTGCCCAGGCTGCCCTCAGAGCAGTCTCATTCTCCTAAGTATATAGAATCGCATCTGTGAGACAATCTTGCCTGGATAAAATGGGACTATTGTCTGTTAATCTTCTTCATACTTCAGACCAGAAACTAGAAATCCTCTAAGTCACCCACTCTGCCACAGATCTAACTCTGACATTCTTATAATGGAAGGATTTATAAAATTAAGGGTATTCGTTTTATTTTTAGATATTGTACCTTTCAGTTTATAACTTCTTTAATATGACATCAAGCTTATGAATTTTACTACTATTTAGGATGTAATATGGAAATGATTTTTATTAATTTTTCTGCTTCTTTAACCCTAGAGTTCAAAGAAGAATGGGTATATTAGTAGAAGAAGCAATGAATCTTTTCAAGTAGCTTCCTGTTTGGAACAAAAGTAGAATTTTATCCAGGCAGTATACAAAAGACTTATTTTGATACAAACAGATTCCAGAGTCTTTCAGGTCACAAAAAAAGATTACCGAAATCTGAATTTGTATAAATTAGCTCTACTTAGGTGACTAAGCAATCATAATGTTTATGATTGTTTGGACTTCAGGCAATTCACCATTAACAACTTTTCATCATTTTTATTGCTCACAGTAACCTTGAGTTCATGTATTTTTATCCTTATTTTTATAAGTTGTAGAAATAAAGAGTTAGAAAGGTTAAGTGGATTTACAAAATCCAACAGTGATGAACAATTCAACCCCAAGTTTGTGGGAACACAGCCAAAATTTTTAACTACTCTGCTATATTGTCCACCCAGACCTTGCCAGCTACCTCCATTCTGTGACTCTTCTACTTTGAAATGAGTCTCTCTTTACCTCCCCTTATGATTTCAAATCATTAAACCTTATTGAAGGAAAACAAACTAATCTGTGTTAGCCAAGGGATCTAGTGGGTCTTGGCTTAGATTTTTCTCAAAGCATATATTTTGGAAACAAGTGTACATACGATTGGTTAGCAGGTGGTTCTGCTGCAGTGGATTAAGGGTGGGAGTTCCTGCAAGGCCTGGCTGGCCAGCCAGTGCTGCATGAGCAATTCCATGTTGAGGTCCAGGAGGAGCAAGAGCAGACTGCATCTTATCCTTATCCCAGGAAGATTCACTTCCACCTGAAAATGCAGACATATGAACATATTTCAATTTGAGAATTTTCCTCACGAATTTCTTTTTCAATTTGTTTTTACAATTGTAATCATTAATATTTCCTTGAAAACAATTAATATGATTGAATATTGGTGAACTGAAAGCTTTCTGGGGATTTTAGCAACCTCTCAAAAGACTGAAACTATTCTCACCAATAATGTAGGTCCACTAGCCATACTGGTTGTCTCATCAAACGTTGAATCAGAATGAATAACGCTTAGAAGCATATATGACCACTACTGCCTCCCATATCAAACTTTTAATACTCATATGCTTAAAAACACACCTATAAAAGCATAGGAACACGCAAAACTTTATAGTAGGAATCAGAATTATCTCATTCTTGCAGATTCAGCTCTCAAAGAAACAGTTTCATTATAGCAGAAGTTTGTAAATTCATTTTGCCAAAATATGAAACCTTGGTTTCCAATTTTGAAAGTATATTTTCCTTGGATTACCCACACTTCAAAGCACAGAAAAATGTGCATGAAGGCAAACTAGTATATTTTTTGTAATCCATAACGGCATTGCTATTTTTTTGGCAACTAGGGTACTGTGTGAGCAGACTATTTCTTAAAACCATATAGGAAGCAGGTACCGAATGATATCTATTACAAAAATAAAAGCCAGTTATGATGACGTAAGCTTGTATTACTAGCAACTTGGGAGTCAGAGATTAGGAGATCAAAGTTAGACAACATTCTTAAGCAAAAAAAGTTTGAGAGACTCCATCCCAACCATTGGCTGGGTATGGTGATGTGTTTCCATTGTATCAGCTACAAGGGAAGCAAAATGCCTGGGTGCACATCTGTCATCGCTAGCAACCAAGTAAAATACCAGCTCAAGTTGGCCCATGAAATGAAGGTTGACCTACATAAAAAAAAAAATCAATGTAAAAATCAGCTGGAACCATGAATTATATATATATCATGTATGAAGCTCTGAGTTCAAACCCCAAGACCATTAAAGTCAATGAAGAAAAAAAGCAAAGGAAGGAATGAGAGAAGAAAGCACGGGGTATCAGAAGGAACAATTGGAAAGTAGGGAAAAAAAACTGAGTAGAGAATTATTCAGCAAGAAAAGAGTAACTTGGTTCCATGTTTAAATAATGATTACATTAAATATGACTCAAAGTAATCTAAGAACTACACAAAATCTCTGGAGCTGTGGTTGCTAGAAAAAACATGTCAGATAAGTGTAGTGTCAATATATCAGCACTACCTTGAAAGACAAACAAACCTACAATTTTAGCATCACCATCATCCTAAAGGGTCTGGAGTCAAGCTCAAGAACTTCAAAAATTAGTAGGTGTCAAATGAGTTTATTTCTGGATATTATAGGAAATCATTTCTTAAGTGTACTCAACAATTAAAAATTAATTATTCACCAAAGACTTGCTCAAATAAATTGTACCTGACTCATTCATTATTCTAAGACTTAGGCTGACAAATTTCACTAAGTAAATGTAAAACTCAAAGTCCCAGTACATTTGTTTCTAAATTAAAATGCTGCAAGATGTAAGTATTCCCTGCATGCCATTTTAAGACACAGTAACTAAAACCTGAACATTGCATTATTGAATTTCAAAGATTAGTGTGGATGTACAGGGAATTAAATCACATAGAATAAAGGCACAGTGCTCAACTGTATGACCTACTGAGTAACTCTAGAAATGGCAAGAAAATTGTTTCTTCCTGACATTATTACCAACTATAAATGATAAAGTTAATCAAGCTCCTGTGGACACCACAAATTTCATTATTTGCAATTATCTTGGTTTTGTATTGTATTTCATTGAGCGGAATTGGGTGGTAAAATATTGCTCCATTACATATAACCTCTAATGTACAGGGTGCATGTACATGTGGATATATCTGTGTGTGTGTGTGTGTGTGTGTGTGTGTGTGCATGTGTGAGACAAGGCAGTTTTTTGAAGTTTGGTTGCTGTTAATTACAACTTGACAACTGCTCAAAACTAATATAAGTTCAAGGCAATGGCAGTGTTTTCTTATCTAAATATGAATTCATTCTGTCATCCTTAATCGTATGTGGTCTGTCTAAATGACAAACATATTACCAACTCATTTTGCAGTAAATAATTATATAATACCACAACCTATCTTTCCCCTTTGTCTTATTTCTGAACTATTTAACATCAACTGCTGAGTATACATGCTAAATTTATTTTGAAGAAGGAGGTCCTAAAATTCATGAGCACTGACTGACATATGCTCTTCTGAAAATATACCTCAAAAGGCAGGTCCCCAGAGAAAGGTATGCTTTCATAACAAAATACAAAGGATGATCTGAATACCAACAATAATGATAGAGCAAGAGTCACATTCCAGCTACTCACGGCTGTAATCCTAGCTGTTCAGAAACCTAAGATCTAAGAATCATGATTCAAAGCCATCCCAGACAGGGAATCAGATGTAGTGCTGTGGAGCAAAAGAGCTCAAGACAGTGCCCAGGCTCTGAGTTC